AAAAAAAGATTTTTAGAACTTTATCTGGGTACTTTTTCAGATGGCTGGATGGATGTGCCGTATTTATTTATTTTTAATTAAGCTTTTTATCAATTTCAGCTTTAAAGTATAAAAAAATTCAACTTCAGTGTATGAGTAATGTATTAAGTGTATTAAGTGTACTGTCCTGCACAGCGCAGAAAGGGCTGTCCGTTTGTTCTAGGTGTGGAGCTACAGTGCTGCAAAGGTACAATAAAAATATTTACACAGTTCACGAACAGCTGTGTCCATATTTGCCATATTTTCATTCTTTTATCCACTAGGACAATAATGATATCTAATCATATGGCAATAAAATAAATAAAAGTTGGTGAGTAACACCTACTGTATGCAACTTTTGAATGCCACTGCCAATAGAAACAAGAAGACTTTCTTAAAAAATACTGTTCATACTGTTTAAAAGACCACATGTTTAATGAGCCCTTAAGGTCACAACCTTAGTTTTGTGGATCAAGTCACCAATGTGAAAGTTGTTGCTCATAGTGACAAATCCTCAGGAAGTCATCGCCTGTTTTTGTTTTTTTTTTAGCATCTTTCTGCTCATTATTTTGGTTTTATGGCCTGAAGCTTTACTGTTTGATGACGAAAAAAAAAAAAAAGCTCGGATAGACTCACTGTACACTAGCTGCCCCGCACCAGATCACAGACAGTTAGCGACTAACTCCTGAACACAGTGGAGCATTTAGCAGCTAAAGAGCCAGATATTTCTCTCAGCAGCTGGTGAAGAGGTAAACAGAGCTAAGTCAAGCACCGGAAACACAACTCCAAACTTACTTGCTCTGTATGTACTTCATAAAGAACTTTACCAAGATACTTGACCTGACAACTTAATAAAATGATCATTTAAATTCACTGCTTTATGTGCAGATTGTCAAGCCTTATCATCAAGATGTATGAACTCCACAAAAGTGAGTATGTAAGCTGGTGTTCAGTGGGTTTGTCTTCAACGATTTTACTGATTTGATTAGTTGACTGGTAGTGAAAACAACTCCTGCACATTATCTGTATAGTACAGAACAATACATGTACAGAAAATAGTGCAAATACCTATCTACCTACATGTGTGTTCATGTTCTGGGTTTTGTGTCTGAGCTCCTCTCTGACGGTCCACCCCCCTCAATCATGTAGCGGACAGACAATCATCTGCATCTCATTCAACCCTCCTCCACGACCACTAATCTCTTTTCTTCTCCTTCTGCCTCTTTTCACTCTTTTCTCTCTGTTTTGTTTTACTGTTTATATGTTGGTGTGTTTTCATGTGTGTAGACTTGCATATATCTGTGTGTAAGGCTGAGCAATCAGTCTGGCGCCACCATCTCATCGGCATGCAGGAGCAGCATGCAAACACACACACAGACAAACACACACACACACACACACACACACACACACACACACACACACACACACACACACACACACACACACACACACACACACACACACAGTGAGAGTACCTTCAACGGTGGTACTTCCTGTGGGTTAACCTTATTACTATTAACCTTGTCAAAGTCACATCCTCAGATGTGACTTTAGATGGGACTTTTTCAAGTGATTTCATGAGTGAAAAAATGTTTGTGGCCACAACAGTGGGCTCTGTGAAGGCCCCTTCACCTCGACACCTCAGCGAAAATGTAATGGGAGCATAATGAAAATCAGCAGTAACTGCTCCTGAGCTGCTGTAGTGTTCATCAGTTCAACATGTTTCTCCAGCGGCGGTCGAAAGCTCAAGTGCAATTCATTTTATTTGCATTCATTTTAAAAGCTGTGGCACAATCAGTGCAGCATCCCTGGATAAAGTCTGAAGAAAGTAAAACTTTCAGTATAGTTTTCAGTATTGTTTCAGCCGCCCAAACGCCATCACGCACACTGATGCCACAAAAGCTGCTGCTAAACCAGCTGCTGATGCTCCAATTCATGTCCAGGACAGGGTTAATGCTTGCTAGCAAGTTAGCAGCTAGCACTAAAATTAACCTCCTCCACAGCTGGCTCCCATTAGCCTGCAACGACACTAAAAGCCTGTACTTCTACTCTCTTTCTCCCTCTGTCTCTCTGTCTGTCTCTCTCTCTCTCTCTCTCTCTCTCTCACACTCACACACACACACACACACACACACACACACACACACACACACACACACACACACACACACACACACACACACACACACACACACATTATATTTAGCCGCCAAGTTTAACCTGGCTGTGCTAGCCTTTTGGTTTGGCACCGTCTGTGTTTGGAAATGAAGGCGGGAGAGAGGGAGGAATGGAGGGGGCAGAACGGATGGAGGGAGGATGGGAGCGAAAGAAGGAAGAGAGGATAAAAGGAGGGAGTGGGGGATGTACGGTGGGAACGAGGATGTATGCAAAAAAAAAAACCATAAGGAATGGAAAGAAAGAAAAAGGGAGGGATGGAGGAGAGAGACATGCAGTGTGGATGTTCATATAAAATGCCACAAGAATAACAAACAGAGGAAAGAACAGGGAAGCTGAGAGAGAGAAAATATGTAGGGAAAAGTAATAAAAATAAAGAAAGAGGGGCAAAAACAGCAACCTGGTAGCTTGGTCTGAATCATAGCTCGTGAGCTACTTTCGCATCTTTCTCCACGCTTCTTCAATTTATTCTTTTCCCAATGTACACAGACTAAAGGCAAGAAAATTAATTATAGTTTTTGCCGCCATTATTCACATTTATGTCCACTGCTACTCTGTACAGCAAATAGCAATAAGTGTCTTATGTCTTGCAGAGAAAACGGCAAAAACAGGAGATGAAAGTCAAAAAGGAAAAGGATTCCTTTTATAGTGTGCATTTAAAAGTTTTAGGATCTGTAGAATAAAAACAATAAAAACCTTATAATATTGGAAGAGCAAACTATCCCAGGTTTTAGAGATCTGTGTGTGTGTGTGTGTGTGTGTGTGTGTGTGTGTGTGTGTGAGACAGTAATTAAGAGAAGAAGTTGCAACGTACACAAGATTTTCTGCCATGGCCTGACAGTTGTATTCTACAGGGAGGTCCAGTGGGATCAGGAGGCAGGGTGTGTGTGTGGGTGTGTGTGTGTGTGTGTGTGTTTGTGTGTGTGTTTGTCTTTGCAAGTGTGAGTATGAAATTTAAGCTGGAATCCTGGTAGAGCAACACTCTGAAAAATGTACACTCAGTACACAATTAAAGGGTCTGCATTGGAGCCTCTGCTTAACAATACTTCTTTTTACAGCACATTGCACTCAAGAAACCACACTCTGCACCCGCCTGTCCCTTTTTATACAAGTGGGATATAAATGAATATTACATAAAAGTGAAGAGTGAAACCTTATACTTGTGTTTTCTTGTTGGAGGAGGATGAAAAAAGATCAGCGATCTGGAGCAACTTAGTGTGAATAGCATGACTTATGATTTTCAGTTCAAAAGATGATTATAGATGAAAAGAGCAGACTGTCAGCATGTTTATCAGAATCCTTAGATGTGTGTGTGTGTGTGTGTGTGTGTGTGTGTGTGTGTGTGTGTGTGTGTGTGTGTGAGTGTGTTAGAGAGAAAGAGAGAGAGAGTGCTTGGCTTTATCTCTACACAACTGTGAAAATGCTTTACATTGACAACTCCTGGCCTCATTAAAACTAGCACCGTTGAGATGACAAAGAAGAGTGTGTGTGTTTACAGACACACACACACACACACACACACACACTGTCTCAGCCATACACATGCATTCTTTCTCTTTTGTCTGACACCCATAAACACACACATACACCGTTACCCAACTATCAGGGCACTTGTGTTAAATAATTAACAGTGTGAGATTAGTCCGTCAGCCTTGGGGCATGGAGGTCCATTGATTCCCCAGAATGCATTTTTAATGAGCTGCCAGCCGGCATTCATTTCAGCTGGCCAGTGTCCGTGGAGGGCCTTCTGACACACACACACACTCAAAAACACACACACACACACACACACACACACACACACACGCACAGACACGCACACACACACCACACAAGTCCAGGCTTAGCGCCAGGGGAGACAATTAACATACACATAAACACAGCAGCAGCACCACTGCATTGCACCTTCACCTTGACAACAGCAGCAAACGAACATCTTCTGATCTCTTTAAGTTGTTTAACTTTGATCTTAAATGAGCATCAGCACAACTGGGCAAATACTGTTTTTCATGAACTTACTGTTGTGTGACAACATGTTCAGCAATGATTTGAGCGGTGTGACTAGGATCAACACATTGTGCAGTTTGTCTGGTGGGTGGTGTGAGGCGGCAGGTATTGTTCACCAGGCACAGAGTGATTTAATGGCTCAACTTAGCACAACATGAAGCTGATTACAAATTGATTGATCACTTTAATTTGTCTTTGTAGACTTGTGTTCAACCTGACACCCAAATCAATCTGCACTCTGTCGAGGGTTGTTAGCTCGAACTAGACATGTTAGACGTCAACATACACACACTGAAAATCCTGACGCACACGTCTGATGACGTGTGCGTCACGGGTGAATGAAGCTCGACACGTTTACTCTTAAAATCACATGAAGTTTTTTTTTTTTGTTATTTTCATTTCATGATATGAAAGAGGAACAGAGAGCAGAAGAGCAGGCAGAGACGTACAGCGTGTGTTTCTGCAAACGCTATTTTGTTCTGTTAAAGTTTCACATAGTCGAGTGTGACAACAGAGTTGGATGAACCAAGAGCACATGACTGAATAAAGATGTTTTTGAATCCAAGTGATGTTGAAATAAGCGACTCTGCCAGCGGTTTGGATGGTTACACATGAATTCTGGACATATTTCATTAGAATATCTCTTTTCACTGTTGACCAGTCTGTCTGCTGCAACTCAGACCGTATGACCTTTGCAACTGGTGAACAGCAACACAGACGAATGTGTGTGTGTGTGTGCGTGTGTGTGTGTGTGTGTGTGTGCGCTTGAGGGGTTGGGTGGATTGCACTTGTCCTACCTTTCCTGTCTCTCTTTCGAAGTCAACGTATTCCCTTGTAGGAACCTGCCTCTGATCTCCGTGCAGGTTGGCTGGAAAGAACTGGAGAGAGAGGTTGGTACCTGTAGCTACAAAGGCCTGGGGTGGGGGTTAGGGAGGGGGAGAGGGGGAGAGAGAGAGAGAGAGAGAGAGAGTATAAAGTCAGTTGTGAAGGAAGCAGGGAGGACAATAAACTCACAAACGCAGCCATGACATACGATTGGTTGTTAAAATTGTTGTGGCTCATATGTTAGCAGAACGTGCAACAAGCAGACACAAAGCAACACTGTGATCCCATCAGTGTTTCTAGTCACGAGATGAATCAATCAAAGTCCAAAATTCACTCAGATTGGAGCTTTCTTTAGGATTTTAGTGGCTTCACCGGCTGTTTGTTTACGTCGGCCCTGTGTCATTTCAAGCTGGGCATGTAGTGCACCTTGGGCTTGTCGGAGCTTATTTACAATCAAAAAGAGTTGCCTATAGTTGTATATCCTGACGTTTGATGAGAGTTGTGAGACTCAAACTTACACTCTATGGCTGAAGAAACAAAACAATGAGCTAAAAGAAGATAGAAGCACCGTATAAAACAGCACACAGGGAATATTAAACACAAAACTGTCTGTAAAAACAACTGTATGTCTTGAAGGAGCTTTGTTGAGCAAGCTCACTGACTGACAAATTTACAACTGGCCATTGAAACCACAAAGTCATAACACTAAGCCTGCATTACCAAATGGGAGGTTGGCATTTAAAAGAGACCTGCATTTACCAGGTAAGTAAGGTCTAAGGAAAGATGATTGTGAGTTGCATGATGGGACATGTAGGATCCAGTTTTTGGAGTTTGACCCAAACTACGCACTACAAGTTGCCTCTGCCTTGACCGTTCTTTATAGTTACAAAACTATTACTTCATGCAGCTTCAAACAAATTTTTATCTAAGATCTTGATTTTGAAATACTGATTTTAAGTACATGCAGTTATCATGGTTTCATAGAAATGTTTCCAGAGGGTTCTTGCATAACTAGCAAAATGTTTGAATAAGTTTAAATGTCTTATTTGGGTCTAAGCCTGGAAGGGTTTAAGTTTGATAGACTCAAAGTTGACATCAAAGTTGTTCTTTTTCTCCTTTCCTCAGCTCGCCTGTCTTTGCCTCTCTCTGTTTCTTCATGGTCTAACCACTAGAATAAAAGTACAGAGTGAACCACTGGCCTGCTCCCCTCTCACACACACACACACACAATCATATCATACTGTAGCTTTCCTCATTTTTTGATTTAACTTAACCATCACAACTAAATGCCTTAGCTTAACGCTAACCAAAACCTAACCCCTACCCTAAAACCCAGTCTTAACCCTCAAAAAGCAGTCTCTACCTGTGGGAGCCTCAATTCTTGTCTCCACAGTGACACGAGTCCTCAAGGATTAGTGTGCATTTAGGGACGAAGTCCCCACCAGTATATAAAAACTAGACAAGATACACACACATGTCCATGCACGCACACGTACAGAAACACAAATAAAATTAAAACCAATAGAATGCATTTCTCTATTGCAGTCAGAAAGCAATGAATTGCGGAGAGACAGAAAATCAAGTTATAATGGTTATTTTTCATGCGTATCTGCATCTGTGTGTGTGTGTGTGTGTGTGTGTGTGTCTGAGTGTGTGCGTTGTGTTGTGTTTGCTGGGACAGATCAATACTAAGGGCATTAGGACTGCGACTGAAGCTAGAAGCATATGAATTATGCACCCTGTCAAATCTGTCCCTCATCAGAGAGTGAGAGCATGAGAGAGAAACACTGAGTGAAAGAGGAGAAGGAGAAAACAACACTGAGCGGAAGAGAGAAATAAAGGAAGGGGAGAGCTGAAAATTACTAAGTGTGTAGATGAACACACAAAGAGAAAAAAATGCGTCTAATTCACACATGTATACACGCACACACGCGCACACACACGCGCGCGCACACACACGCACACACACACACAGACACACACACACACACACACACACACAGAAAAGAGAGCTCAAAGAACACCCGAGTCACCCTTTCTGCTGTATTTGAAGTATTGGATTACAACCATCTGATACCAATTTGCTGCCTACTACTGCTGGAAAGAAAAAGAGGGAAGGAGAGGCTGAGAGAGGAGAGAGATGGAGGGAAACTGAGGGACAAAGGAGGAGAAAGAAAAAGAGAGTGAAGCAGAGGGAAACTGAGGAAATGAAAAAAGAGGAAGAGAAATGAAGGGAAACAGGATAACGGCACTAAAGACGGCACGGTGAATGTAAGGAAAGTCAGACAAAGAGAGAAAGAGAGAGAGAGAGAGAGGAAATGGAAGTAAGATGGCGAGAAGACAAAAAAGAACAGAACAAAGGAAATGAAATAAAAGGAAGTAAACAGACAGAGAGAGAGAGAGAGAAGGAGGGGGGGCAGTGCAGCATGAAAATCAATAGTAGTTTAGAAAGCGACTCATCTCTAATGAGCTGAGCAGAAGATAATTTACTTTGAATTATTGTCCCATTTATCAAATCAATCCTGAACATTTTAGAGTTGCCCTGTGATCTGAGCCGCACATCTGTGTTTGTGTGTGATGTCTGGAAGTTCCTAGAAACAGCTGCCTAATTTCATTTTTACATGATACAGTGTGAATCATAAAAAATAATGCAGAGAATAAGTACTTTTCTAATACAAGATACAACTGTCAGTTTGGGTGCAGCACATTTTCATCATTTTCTATTTATTAATTTTGTATTTATTTAAATAAATAATTGTTTAAATAAAAGACTTGCAGCATATCCAGTATAAACATGTACAGTACATCTAATTATTTTGCTAATAAATCCCTTAAAAAAGAATGAAACTGTGGAGGCAAAACGATGGAAATAAAAATATTTAGACAGTATTTCTGCTCTAACTAGCAGATAGAAAACATTAAGCTAATATTACAGATATAAATGTTTGTCTTTTATTTGATTCCCCATGATTTATTTACTTAAACAGCTTCTGCAAAACACAATTTGTTCTAAACATGTGTGTCTGGTAAAATGAATAGCCTATTTATGAAAGTACCAGCAAACTACATCTAGAGTTTTTATTTTTATTTATTTATTCTTTAATGGAAGCTATGATTTTAAATTTTTAAAGAGTCAGTCCTAGAAAGTTTTTGACGAAAGAAAAGAACTGATTAAGAGAAAACAAATATTCAAAGACGCTCTCTAGACATCTTTCACGGCATCTAGAAATACTCTGATTGGAACAATAATTTGTGTCTGATAGAATAGGTTTTTCCCAAACAAGAAAAAAAAGTTAAATTGTGTAAAATATCTAACATTACACCCACTCTATATTTTTTTTCAAAAAGTACTACTTCAGTACAAAGTTTACACATCACAGTTGTACAAGTTGCATCTTTCAAACTAGTTGTTATGTCACATCTTAAAGTCAGATTTTATTTGAGCACAGTGAAACTTTCACTCCTCAGCAAATGAATGTGAAAACAGCCTCTCGTGTCAAACTCTGCACAAACATCAAAGTGAAGTATCAATAAACAAAACACATTTTTGAGGGGAGGGGGGCTTTAAAGTTACATAACTCTAGTGCTGACCCAATAAACTGGCCACAGTTTACTGCTTATTTGTTCTTCGTTCTTCGGTGTCATCTATAAAAAGTGATCCTTGACAGCACGTTTGAGTCTCATTGTGTCTGATACTTGTCCACACTGGCCATGAAAATAGCAGGAGGTCTTTAGCAGCGTCTGGCCGATAGATAAATCAGCGACATGATGTCACAGCTGCCGTCAAACCATTAAAACCGTGGCCATCAATTCTCACAGCAGAAGAGGCTTATAAATACAGTGAGGACAGACAGACAGACGGACGCATCATGTCCCACTATAAGATGGTAAAACTAGATGTAGCCCCCCCTCCCTGCCGCCCCCTCCTGTGATGATGACAGCATGTTTGTGAAAAATACCTCGAGGATGACTAAGACAGCAGAAGTTGCCATGTGTTTGTGTGTGTTTGTGCCAGCAGCCTAAAGGCATTTCGCCTGGCCTCACCTTTTGTTGAGGACACGTTTTAGGAAGTTTTGAAAGGGTCTTCACACAGTGAGCGCACAGTAATTACATAATGACAATATGAATTTGTCCTGACTTGCTATAAAGTTATAAACTGCTTATTGGAAACACTACACCTGGTATTCTTTTAAAAGGAAACAAAAAAGTTCAGCTGTAACTATAGAGAGAATGTATCTGCAGAGAAGTGAAGACGGTAAAACATGCAGACATATTGTGCTCATCAAGAAAAACATGTCTTTTACTTTTCACCCCAAATGCTACTTTCCATCAGTGGTGGGAAAAAAAACTAAATACATTTATTCAAATACTGTACTAAAGTACAATTCTGAACTATGTGTACTGAAGTTGAGTATTTCAATTTCCAACTACTAGTTTGCATTCGAATGAGGATATAAAATAGGATGTATTTTTATACATTAAATCAAACCTCCCAGCAGGACAGACAATTTTTCGAGAGTCAGCTTCAGCTCGGGCCCGCTACAGTGTTAAAATGCTGCTCACACATGCATGAGTAACAATAATCCAAGAGTATAATAGTAAATACAGCTCTGACAGAGACAGATCTGCATAGTGGATGTTTTTACTTTTATATTGCAAGTAAATTTTACTGATAATACCGAAGTGAAATTTCTGAATGCTTCTAATGGACTATATTTCACAGTGTGGACAAAGAAGCTCATTCTGTCGTCACATCAGCTCATTTATGCTTGAGAGGCATCCATCTCAGAGTTGGACGACCGGTTGCATTTGAAGACGCGGCGAGAGAAGATTGTGGTTTGGAAATGGAGGGAGACAGATTCAGCCCACCAACACTGTCGCCACAAACTATCTCCTACTGCAACAACTGGCAGCTACTCCATGTATGAAAATGAAAGAAAAACAAAAAAACAAAAAAACAAAAAATGTTTTTACATTTCATATAATGCAGTCCTTCGCAGCACCACAGCAGACCACAGATCTGAGTCAACACCAAAACAACTCAAGTAAGGGTCTAAACAAAAATCAGGCTGCAAATATTGATTATTTAGATTATCAGTTGATACTGCAGGTGTTTTCTCAATTAACAATAAATTAACTTCTATAAAATGTCAGCTTGTTTTATCACACTCGATAACAAAAAGATAGTCAACACATAAGACAAAGAAAAACAGCAAATCCTCACCGTTACAGGGAATGTTTAGCATTTTTGCTACTGTAGAAGATTTAACGATTAATAGTATTTACTGCAGGGCTGTTGTACTGCATTACTGGTCATCATACAGGTATTTCTATGTTTCTGTTCCCACAGTGTATATCCTTTGTCTGTCTACTGTATCCACAACATGTTGTCAAATTACCATATATCCCAAACTTAGACATGACAGGTGATATTTACTTTAGGTCACCAATTTTAGGATCCAAATGACAGCCCTAACAGTGTTTGTTGTAACCCTAACGGACCTGTGTGATAACATGCGTTAATGTGCGTTTCTGCCAAACAAAGCAATGATGACTGCAGCTGCAGAATCTAGAGGGAAGAAGTGATGAGCCTGTGAGTGAAGCTAAGCCTGGTGGGTCTGCATGTCTGATAACACGTCTACTTCCTGGTGCAGGGACATGTAAAAACATCGGCGCACACACACACACACACACACATGGTCCATGCATGTGAATACACACTGTGCTGCTGCAGAAGGTGAGCGGATTGCAGTGTTCTTGTAATAAGAGTATATTTGTCTGTTAAAAAGGAGACACTCTTAGGAATTAATACTCCCTACTGTGGAGGATTTTAAAGTTTCTTTCATTATCTTCCTTTGGTGTGCACAGCTACATTATTCATTAAAAACTGATCAGACATGTGATGTCTGTCTCAGTGTGCATGTGAGCTTTACATCCTCATAAACACACACATGCACACTGCCTTCCTTTCTCTCTTTGAACCATATAATATCAGTAATTAGTACTACAACCCCCCTCTTGAACTTCAAGAAGAAGACAAAGAATAAGAGATTATATTTAGTTTTGCACTCACTACTTCTGACCGTCCGTCCCTGCAGGCATTCTGGAAGCGGGCTTGTCGCTCCTCATGGGGCCGGTCTCTGAAGCCAGTGTATTTAATCTACATTGAAAATACAAAAAAACAAAAACAAAAAAACAACCTTAAACAACAGACTTACTCACATACATTTTCATATATTCTAAGTATAAAACGTGCTTGATATGAAGTAGAAACCACCCTGAAAAAGGCTGTTTGACAGTGAATGGCGATGCTCTTTGCCAGCAGTAGGCTGTAATTTGAAGATAAGCCACAAGAATTTTGATTTAAGGCAAAAGGCATCATTCTTTGTTTGTCTGTTGGTGTTTTTAAATCATAAACTCATATAAAATCTATAACAACAGGAAAAGAGTGATAGCAGAAATTTTACTTGACTGAGACTGATTTGAGCATTAAATAAATAAAGAAAAATAAAAGAACAAAATGTAAAGGAAGGATCAGAACGAAAAGTCTAAAAAATGTATTTTCCTCAATTTCAGAGGGGAAGATACAACTCAAACAACTGACTGAAACACACCTTTGAAGGCTACCAGTGCTTTATTTTAAGGAATTTATTTCACTGCAGATAAAAATGAATGAAAGAACTAATGTGGAGCCTAAAACAGTTCACCCCGCCAGCATGCTCTCCTCCTCTAATGAGCCTTCTTCTCTCTTTATTTCCGCCGTCTGACTGAATGGATCCAGTGTGCACAAACACAGTCAGACTCACCTCACACTCCCTGCTCAACTTGCGGAAAAACTCCTCATTTTCAAACTTGCTCCTCTGGTCCGGAACTACCCGCGGCATCTTCACCAACACTTTTCGGCCTCTTGGTTTTTCACTTTTTTATCCTGTTGTTTTTTTTTTTTTAATTGTCCCGCACAGTAAAAGTTAAACTGTGTTTCTTGCCGTCCGTCCCTCACTCAGCTTCTCTTTCACTCAACTCTCTTCCGTGTCTGTGTGTGTTTTTTTTCTTCCCTGTGTGGAGCAATGTGCTTTCTGCTGCTGGCCTCAGTGATTATGACTGCTGCTCTTGTTATGATGATCTGCCCCCTGAATGCGGTTCCTGCGCGCTCCGGTTCGCCTCTGGCTCCAAATGGCTCTTATTAAGTGACCCACTGCGATAGATAAAGCTCAATTTGACCGTGTGGCGCTCTCCCCCTCCCTCTCTCTCTCTCCCTCTCTCTCTCTCTCTCGCTGTCTTCCTTACTGTCTCTCAGTGTCTCTCTACCTCCCTCTCTCTCTCCTGACGAGCGTGTGATCTCAAGCAAGTGGCAACAAACGAGCGCTCTCCGTCTGTCTCTCTTTAGTCTACCTGCAACTTTCAAGTGCTCTTCCTCAGTCGGTCTGTCGATTATTCGTGAATTAGCCTAAAGGGGTTTGGGACTAATGCAAAAAGCACAAAGGATCATGACAGAGAGGGGCTATATTTTATCTTCTGGCAGCTTTAATTAAGTCATGAATCATATGGCACAGAGCTGTTTTATGCTGTGGTGGCAGGAGAAGAAATATCTGTTTGGCATTAAGCCTAGTTTAATTTATGTTATTCTAATCCAGCATGATTCAGTAAAACAGCCATAAAAAAATACTTGTATTTTTAAATGCATCAAGGCATAGCTAAAAATTAAACCGAAAAAAAAGGTAAAGAAAAACATGCATCAACATACAGGTTAACAGCACAAATAGAAATCAATTACAGTTCATCTTTGTCCATCAGTTGCTGATGAATCTATAAAGCTTCAGCAGCTTTCTTGTTCTTTGTCACACTTTGATCAAAAATCTAAATTACGGCAGTTTGGAAAGTACTTGAAGGCATCAAGAGTCTACTTCCTGGCTCCGTCGAGTCGCTCTTGTGACTGTACACCCAAAATACCGCCCCCCTCCTCCTCCTCCTCCTCCTCCTCCTCCTCCTCCCGCCTCCTCCTCTCCCTCCTCCTCCCCCCTCCCCACATCTCCACCACCACCCCCCCCCCATTCACAATAATAATACTACTACACACGTTACTCGGGGCTGCCACTGCGCATGCGTCTGCTCTAGACCGCAAGAACTTTATAGGATCCTTATGTGAGGGGGCAGGCTGACAGTGTTAGTGATTCCCTGAAAAAACAGGGGGAGACTGTTGCAACACTTTCTGCATTTCTCTCAGTTACTCAGAGACTATTTGGAATAGATCAACCAAATTTTTATATATTAAACTTACATCAGTCTGCTAATTACCCATACCATTTAAAGATGATAACGTATGACATATCATTTACAGTATTTACTTGAATGTAAGAAATCAGATGTTGCAACTGACCCCAACCCAGCTCCAATACAGATCAGGGACGGTTGCGGCATCAAATTTTAATAATTAACTTATAACTGCGCTAAAATTGATGATTCTTGTTACATCCGTTGTGCTATGGGATGAAATTAGCCACATACATTTCCTAATTTGAATTTAAAATGTTGAAAAATGCTGTTGGGTCGTCTGCTTTGATATGTCTGCTTAGCGTGGAGACAATTACAAAAACTTGTTGCAAATGTCCCCGCCCTATCAGCCATGACAGAACATCATCTGCTAGATAGACACCCTGACCTTCGCTCATGTCACTTAGAAGTCAACAAAACAATGATTCAAACCAAGTAGGTTTTGATTAATTCATACAAAAGGTCAGGGCAGTTTGACAAAAATACACTTCATGCAAAAAAAACCTTTTATAGCTCCATCACTGCATCTGCTAGGACTTCACTACATCACTCCAGCATGTTTCTGATTGGAGAAATAAAACTTGTTGCCACCGTCACTTGTTGTAGCTGTCCCCAGTCTCCCCTAAATCCTGCAGTAATCCTAAAAACCTACAGAAATGCTTCTCAATATTTGAAAATGTGGGCCGCAGAACAACTTGATTTCAAACTAATGAGCAACTATTTGCTCAGTCTTACTTCAATACTCTTTATAAAGCCAGTTTGTAAGAGTGACACGCCTTTCTGAAATGATCCGCCCGAGGACATTGGACTCCAGATCAGTCAAAAACACTTGTTTTGTTGCTGGAGACTTTTTTATAGGCCTGCTGACATTTTAAAGAATGTGCAAGGCTGCATCAATAAAGTTCACTGCCTTCCACATAGTATTATTTTTCAGTGGTGGGAAAGTAAATTTACTCAAGAGTTGTACTTTATAATAACTTGCACATTATTTCCACTACAGTTACTCCAATACTCTGAAAGGGGCCTTTCCACATAATGGGAAGGTACTTTAACTTTGAAAATTTTGATACTTTAAACCTTTGTTTGGTCGGAAACACATTGTCACATACTCACCTTTTAGTTCGATATAGTGAACTTGTTAGCAAAAAGTTGCATATTTACACATCCAGCAGTTAGAGCAACATGGTTTGTACTTATGTTTCTGGCCACTTGGTGAATATAAGTCCAAACTTGATTCTCCCATTCACCTCTTGTTTTGCTCTCTACTAACACCTGAGGGAAAAATCTGGCTCTTTGGCAGCTAAATGCTCCACTGTACGATGCCTCTCACATTACACTTTGTCATTTGATACTTTGTTATTATACAAATATAGATTATAGCCACTTTGTTGTGACGACACTCCTGCTGTGTGTGTTTTTCCTCGTCTGTTTCTGTGTTACCTGGCAGGGCCCCGGTAGGTGGAGCTTATTAGTGTGACTGGGAGCACTGTGTTGTTGTTTGGTTAGCTTTAGCCTTGTTAGTTTAGGTTTTGTGTACAACACTTTCCACAGTGATTTACACTCCACATCATGTTAAGTATGTTTTGGAATTACTGTTTCAGTAATAGATTTATACACTTTCAGTTAAAAAACTGGTGTCTCTCCTGTTGTTGTCATGGCCTAAGAGCTGGGCTGTAACATGGTGTACATTTAGCTGATAATACTACAGACATTTTGACGCGTCATACTGTAGCGGGAAAAGCGCAGGTGTTGCTAATAACATTAACAAGTGTTCTGCTCTGTGCAAGTGTTGCAGTGATCCATGACAGTGTGGCAGAATTTAGAAAAGCCCAGGTGTAATTAATAAACTCAATTATGAGTACATGCCATTCAGGTGAGGTAGTTCCAGGGTATGTGAAGGTAGACTCTGTCCTGGTCTATCGAGACACTTAAACGAGCCATCGTTAATGAAATTTGTTTCACCTGTGTTTTTCCTCCCGGTTCTGTAACTGGAATTTTATTATCTACGCCTTTGTCACCTCCTGCTTTGACATCCCAAGATATTTCTTTTGCAAAAGATGACTTGAGATAGAAAACAGCAGAGGCTGGTGCTTTAGGGTCGCTACAGTGCAGTAGAGAACTGCTATTATATGAAATATATCTGCACGTTTTTAGGGAAAATAGAGCAGCATTAGAGTTGACAGAGTTTTCTCTTCACACACAGACTCAGAGAAAGACAATTTATATTTACAGCTCTACAGCCGAGACGTATTGGCACTTGCAACATAATAAGGAATGAATGTTTGATTATGCAATGAACAGGCGGATAAAAACACGCCCCTGAAATGTAGCACAGCTACACACACACACACACACACACACACACACACACACACACACACACACACACACACACACACACACAGAGTAAATATGACAATTAGACTCCCAGGAGATTTTCGTAATCACACACACAGACCTTAATTAAACTACGAACAAGAACCTGCAGGTTGAAAGTGTGTGTGTGTGTGTGTGTGTGTGTGTGTGTGTGTGTGTGTGTGTGTGTGTGTGTGTGGAGACTCTAGAGAAATGTATGTTTAGATCAAAAATCCCCTGTGACAAGAGAGAAAATAAAACACATATAATTAAGCTTTAATAACACAGAGGAGAACTGAAGGTGTTTGATTAACAATGTTTCTAATATCTAGTGTTTCCATGTAATAGTGAGAATCAGATGCACGTTATTTTTACAGTGTTTTTGGCGTACTTATGCCAAAAACATCTGTGCAGGATGACGCCTCGGGCTACAGCATATGCTCGGAGTCCTTTTGATGAAAAGAAACCCTCCTTTTATGACACCCATGTCATTGATTTCCACCAAAACGTCTCCCATTCAGATAGCCTGGAGATGACAAACACAGAGCTCACTAGTTTACTGCCTCCAACCGGCCATTTGTATGTATGTGTGTGTGTAAGCTGCAGGCCAAACAGTGCGTGAGTGATTAACAACAGTAGCTGGTGATGCAGTAAAAAGGGTAAAAGGTTCATTAATTAATCAGATAATCTGTGGTTGCCATGGCGAACAGTTCTGACATGCAGTCTGGTCTCATCCTCACACAGCACACTGGGCACAGCTCACTTTAGTCCATGTCATTTTGTTTTAAAGTCTCTTCTTATGTGTGATTACTGTCAAGTCAAGTATGAAGTTAAGTTTAGTTCAGGTTAGATTTTTATACATTTTTTATTCTGTTTAAGCAAGACCAGTTTAGTTTGAGTTTTAATTCAGTTTATTTTAGTTATTTGGTTTTAACTCAGCTTAGGTTATTTTTATTTTTAGTATAGTAGTTTGGTCTTATTTCTTTTGACCTGACATGTAATTAAGTTATGTTATTTCATGAAAATTCATCTTTGATTAATTTGACATTTACCTTATTTGGGTTTAAATTAGATTTAGAGTTAAATTTAATTGAGAGATGTCACTGATTTTTTATTTTTTTTTGTTAAGTCAAATTAGTCTAGTCTACAGTAGTCTAGTTTGGTCTTGTTTAGTTTTAGGGTTGAGCAATAAAACAATATGTACTGTGAGAGAAAAATCATTTTTGCACATATATGATAACGTTCCATGATTTGTTAACTACTCAATTAGCTGAACTCCCCAAAAACTGAAATTCATGTCAGATTCTTTTATCTACAAATAGTTTCTTTCTCCCGAAAACATACTTCATCCCTCTATACGAGGTGTGACTATTAAATAATGAGACTAACGTTGGTTTGACTTACGTAAGCCCAGTCTCCTTATTTAATAGCCACGCCTCATATACTGTTTATATATTCAGTGGGATCTAAAAATGATTTAGATAAAAAACTGTAAATCAATATCACACCATAAACTCATACCATGGTAGA